GTTTTCTTCATTTGTCTCATAAACACTAAAAAAATATTGCAATTCCCATTCATCTTTGAAGGTTCTATTTTCTTCTTTCAAAATTCATTTTAATTTTTTGAACATAATGAGTTAAAATTAAAAGAAAATTGAATTTATTCTGAAAAGATAATTAAATATTAGCAAATGCAAAGAACTAAGCCTATATATGCATTGCTATTGAAAAACATGCTAATTATTTTCATCAGGGATCAGTATACATAATCAAAATTAGTAAAGATACAATGAGCAGTCAAAATATGCATGTATCATCATTATTAAAGTTGTAAAAGTTATATTATAGCCTCAAATAAGAAGGGACATTTTGATGGCTTGCCTAGAGAAATATGGTTGTGGGAACCTGGCAATGCTGCTCAAAACAGGGATTTGGAGCTGACATCTAAATTTCTGGCTCCAGCATTTTGAAAATTACTGGCTTCAGCTCCGGCTCCCAACTCTTGCTTGTCTCGCAGTAATGATTGATAAACCTTACTGAAATTGGGGCTTGCTCATTGCTATTCATAGGCCATCATAGACAGCTATTAATCTAAATTCTAATGAATATACCTCTATCTTTGTCAATCTCTTATTATTGATTATACTATAATCAATAATTGATTAGTTAACAATATAAAGTTAGGAACACATTTTAGTACAACACAATTATCCTTTGTTAACTATAAGTTCAATGTTTCAGGGAAAATTTCAAAGAACAAATAATGTTAAAAAAATATAAAGTTTGTTGTTAATTCAAATGGTATTAGATTAGTACATGAAACGTGATAGATGAAGAGTCAATGTTGAAAATATTTACTTACTCAGGTTGCGAAGTAGTAAGTAGACTGGTAGCAAGATGGCGTATAATTTAACCAAGGAGCGTTTTTTTCTGGTTGAAGGGAATGGAATTTGATTTTTTTTTAAATTACAGCAGTCCTTCGGTTAGTGTAGTAGAAGTCATAGAAATGAATTTGTCATCAATGTTCTGAAAGGCCAGCTGCTAAGTTGAGTTACATTTGTATCCTTCTATATCTAAGTCTATTTTTTTTAATGTCTTTTGTCTGTTGTCAGCACTATGCATCTGTTTATATCCCAGTTTATTTTCTCACATCAGCTCATGAATTTCTTTTTTTTACTTTTTCTCTAATTTCCCAAAAAGATGCTTCTCAGTGGTTGAATATTTATTTCTAACATAGGCTTGAGAATTTCTTTCTTTAGTTTCTCCAAAACAAGGCCTTTTGTTGACTGAATATTAACTTCACTCCTAGTTTCAAATTTCTTTTCTTGAATTGGCGATTTTGCTAGCCAAGCTAGGGATGTTTTATTTTTATTTTTTACTCTCTACAATAGTTACACTTACGGTAGCTAAAAATAACTTTTTTTTCATATGGTATGTATGATTTTTCTTTTCCTTAAAATATTTTTATCAAGTTTTTCTTATGGAGAAAGAAGAAAATATAAACAAGCTGAAATTGTTAGTAAGGGGAAGGTGAAAAGTTAGCTAAGGCATAACTAACAGACACATTACTAAGTCACTAACCAACGGAGACTGTTTTTGCAAGAAGAATAATAATAGTGTGATGATATATATAATTTTGCTATAAAGATCTTAATGTTTCCAATTTAATATCAGAAACCTTAGGTAACTCAAACCACACTAGTAATCTATTTTTGATTACCAGTAACAGCTCAGAATGATAAATTTAATTATTGCTGAGAAAGAGGAAAATTTATTGTGAACTTTTAGTTTAGGGAGCTAGAGCTTGTACATTTTTTGTTGGTTTCAACTTTGGCACCAACTTTTCTAAATTATTTAGCTACACAGTCAGTTATGTGCCATGCATGATACACGCTGAGGCGATCATGTATCTTTTGATACATGACTGATGAGGCAGATCTTTTTCCTGCAGTAGGTTGCCATTTGTTTCTGCAGTAGACCAGTTGCCATCCAAGGATATAGAACCTGGTCTGTCTTGCTATTTACCCATAGCTGGGGGAGAAGAAAATGATTCATACCTTTCCCAAAGGTATAAGCCCATAAGTTAATGTAACGTATTTGAATGGAATTCAAACTCGGCTCTCTGATTCTTCAATCTGAGCCGCTATCCATTACACCACCGTGCCTCCTCTCCCTACACAACCCAGCACGAAGGTTGCATGTGATGACCCAGAAGGCCATACGTAGCTTTAAGGTATCAGGTTCCCCACCCCTGGTGTATCTGTTTCAAAGCAAAATAATCTGGAAGAACACATCATTTGTCCTTGACACCAGTTTGACCCGAAAGTCATGATTCAGTACATCACAAATAAAATAATCTCAAGTTAAAATACTGTGTAAACTGACAAAATAATAAAAAGAAAAACAAAAACAAATGTGGTTGCTGGGAAAGAGAATAAGAAGTATACAATATCAATAATATATTGACACAGGTACACAATAAAAACAGATCACCCTGTGAACAAACTGCCTTTTCATTGTTCTTTCGTCATTTTTTTTTTTAAAAAATCTTAAATTGTTTTAATTTACTACTTTTTATAGTTTATTTTTCATTTTATACTCTAAAATGTTGACTTTAATAAATTATGCTGAAAGAGTTCATAAGAATGTTAAACAAAGAAAAAAAAAAAAAATTAACAGGGCAAACGGTTGAGAAAAGTAATTGCAGGGCCCCAAAATTTCAGTCGGATAAAACCAAAAAGGAATAGCATGACTATCAAAAATAATCTTTAAAAACCTCTAATAATGTTAATTGTGTTTTTCCAAGAATACCTTTGTTCGAACTTCATAGCTTTAAATCTTGACTTTGAATTAATTTTTCTCTTTAATGTTAAATGAGGTTAAAAGAAAAAAAAAATCAAAACAACAAAAACAAAGTTGGGCTAAAAAAAAAAAAAAAATCCACCTGATTGAGGAAGGGGGAATTCTAATGGCATGTGCTTTGTGTTTGTGTCAGCATTCAGCCGGACAAAAAATAGGGAATGAATGAGTGCTCGGCAACACTTATACATAACTAGCAGTAGAGCCCGAAGTTGCCTGGGGATGTAACAGTAAGAGATAGATCAAGTATTGACCATCATAAAGACTGAAAAATAAAATTGACAAAGATTATTGTTTTTTTTTGACGGACACGCATGTCTTAATTAGTTTTTTTTTTTTTTTTTTTTTTCAACGAATTGGTCAAACCCAAACTCAAAGCAAAAAAACATTGTTTTCAATCGTATATGAGTCTACCGATTGAATAGAATTTTATTATAAACAATTGTCTTGTAAATGGAATTTTAAAGCATTCTGAATGTAAAAATAAAGAAAAAAGTGTGCAAGACAATAAGAAACACTACCTGCCAAAAAAAAATGTGAAGTTTTCTTGAAATCAGTTGAAAAATGTAGGAAATGCGATCCTATATATAAATGAACACACACACACACACACACACACACACAAACTCGGTTTTATAAGTATAACTCGATATAAGTTATCCCCCTTTCATTCTCACGACAGCGATGCCTCTTAATCGTGTTTTTCAAATTGATTTCATGCAAAAACAATTTGTTTTTTTTCAATTTTTGGCGCTGTCAGAACCACTGCAAGGTAATTTTACGTAGTCCTGTGAAGTTTTTATTTGAAATCAGTTGAAAAATGTAGGAAACCGATCTAATATATAAACGTACAGACACACACACACACACACACACACACACACACACACATTCTGCGTTTTATAATAAGTAAGATGATCAACAGGGAAGGTGACAAACTCGGAGAGAGAGACACATATAGACATAATGTACTTATACACTAACACAGATGTATATGCAAACATATTTAAAAAAGACTAGAAATTTTGACTGATAATTACACTACTGTGCATTTATGTAGAATAATTAATTGTGCATAATTTAGGCTGGTTTTCAAGAAAATTAACTGATTATCCTGACTGACAAATAGAAAAAAAATTGCCATTAAAATTAATTTTTGTACATGTTTTATAGGTGTTTATTTTTATTGCTTTTTTTTTTTTACTATGGAATCCAATTTTTGCAATGGAAATAACTGTGTTTAGGACATATTTCAGTTAAATAAAATTCTTATTAGACTACACACACACACAATAAAGAAAAGCCAGTTATGTTGGTGTGACCAGAGAAGCAAACACTTTAGACAAGAAAAAATCCCAAACAATGAAAGAAAGACCAAAAGACAAACACCTACCTACTTGGTAAAATGCTCAACTTCCAGATTATTTAGACACTGAAAAAAAAAAACACTTCACAATATCAACACTTAAGAAAGGACAACCAGATTTGTAACTGGGGTTTCATGGTCTCGTAATCTACTTTTGTTAAAAATTGTAATGAGACAGAAGAGGCAAATTTTCAGGTTGTTTTGAGTGGGAGAGTGTCTTTTGAGTTGGTGGGGTTCTACAAGTAAGAATTAAAACGCCAATATGCGTTTCCATTATTTTCATAAAGGGTCAAATGGGTCTATAGCGCTGATGACCAAGAGTTCATTGCTGATGTAAGTGGAAGGTTAAAAAGAAATGACCTGATTCAAAAGGTTTTTCGTTATTTAAATTTATTTTCATTATTTCCTTCTGTTTTCTGAACTTATCCAGACCTTACTATCCTGGTTTCTCTTAAGTCATTTCTTAATTAGAAGCAGTTAGGCTGAGTACAAAAGAAGAACCATTGTTGATGTTGTATATTGATATTTTAGAAAAAGCAACCAGGGTAAGTTTTTGTGTGTGTTTTTTTTTCAGAGGAGGAAATTCCCTAGTGTTGTAAATTAGCCTGGTCATGGAGTGATATGCCATAACTCAAATCTAAAGTGCATTTGTACTTCTTGGGCCATTTAATTTTTCCTTTTTTTTGTGAAATTTATGTTTAACTGATTTTATACAGTGATAGATATCATTGAGTAGCCTGTAAATTCTTCATCCTTTACTTAGGTGCCAAAATTCTTTTTCTTACACATTTTTTTTCTTCTATGTTTCTTTCTTTTCTTTTTTTTCTTTCTTTTATCCCATGTTTTTTGCCTCCCCTTTTCATTTTTTTCCCATCTTTCTGCTCGTCACTTTTGTTTTGCTCAGTGTTTCATTTTTCGGCCTCCCTGTCAGCTCTCCACATTTAAATATTAAACTATATTTTTCTAAACTAATAGATTTTTTGTAAATTTGTAGATTAATCCCCGGAAACCAATTGCAGTGAAAATTTCCATTCTGGTGTGAAATTGCCTGATTAATTCCAAAATAACAATAAATTTTAGGTAAAATGGTAATAAATCAATGTTGGAAGTTATCAACAATATAAGTTCGCCAAATTATTCACATCAATATAAATAGCAATTACTGGCATTGTTTACATAGTTTGCCTTGAGTCGTAATATGCAGAAGCTTACTTAATCAATAGCCTTTTTATTGATCTTCTTATCTTCTTACTCGTCTTGATTACTGCTCAATTCATGAAATTTAATTTAAAGTCCGCACATTACTACTCGAAGCAAACGTTTGTAAACAATTTTCAGTAATGGCTGCCAGGCTGTAAAATTTACACTTCAAAAAATATTCATTTTATTTTATATTGTTGATCCGTTCCTAAATGGTTTTTTTCCAAATTAAACTTTTATTGTTATTTTTTAAAATTGCACAAGGTTTTAATCTTCAAAAAATTTACCAGATTTTTATTCATTAATTTAACAGATTTCTATCACTTTAAATGCCATATTTGAGAAGATACCCCCATTTATCTATAAAGATGTGGATTTTTTTTTATGTATTTTTTATGAGGGTCATTAGTTTAGTTCCTAGGAACTGACAGCCCAGACACCAACATATATCATTAGATTATAGTGGTGAAGGCAATGTGCAGAATCAACCACACGTTTGGAAGGGCAGAATGCAGAAACCTGATGTACTACATGCTACAAGGTCCCCAAATGACCCTCCACTGGTTTTAAATTCAGAGTTGTCCTCCTAGACTAGTTAAGTTTTTAAATCTTAACATTACATTAGTCATTTACTAAAAGTAAACATATTTAATTGATTGAAATATATTGGATTGATAAATAAAACTTTATTACCTTAGAAAGATATATTTTAATATTTAAATGTGGGAGAGCTGACAGGGTGGATTAAAAATGAGAAACTCCGGAAAACAAGATTGATGAGTAGAAAGAAGGAAAGATACCTGACAGGAGAGCATATGTTTTTCTTTAATAAGATTTCTCAAATATTCAGGCTGGTAGATAAAAATAAATAAATGTACTGTTTGGTGTGTCTACTCAAGTATCCAGTAAGGGTCGTTTAAAGTGATTAAGTTGGGTGGGGGAGAAAAAGATAAATGCAAATTTTTAAAATAATTTTTTGTAATTTTATTTACCATCTAATTATATTGAATTTTTCCAGGGTTTTTTTTTCAGTTGATAAAAATTCTAAAAATTGAAACTTCTCCTTAAAACACACTTCTACAGACAGTAAGTAATTTTCCTTTACTCATTGTTTTTTAAATGTAACACTTCTTGCTGAGTTCCTGGTCAGTGCTGCCGTCCTGATCAGCGTTCTGTTCTGCCCCATATTGTGTTGATTGATCATGGAGCTGGCAAAGATAGAGTTGTCCTCAGCAATTGTAGTGCTGGATCAATTCCAGCAAAGCTATGTTACTGTTATGGTCCAGGTCCTTGTACCACGGTGATAGTCCAAGGTAGAACCAATAAAGAACTCAAACACAGGTATGGAATAACACAGATATATTACAAACAGGAATATATACAGAGAAGTAGAAAATGTTAGTACGAACAATCAGGTTTAGTAGAGAGAACAATGTAGTCTCGACCAGTATCACTATTCCAATGTCTTGCAGTAATTGTATGAACGCGACTCTGTTTCGGACTGCCTCTGACTCGACTTGAACTAGTGACTCCTTGCCTACTCCTGAGGCGCAGTACTTATTAAGTATGGAATAGTCCATTATTATTATTATGGGTAAGATCTCATAACACTAGCTATCTCATTCTGTTTAAATCTATCTATCTATCTATCTATCTATCTATCTGTTATGGTTCGGTTCCTTGTACCACGTTGATAGTCCAAGGGAGAACCAATAAAGAAGAACTCGAACACAGGTATGGAATAACACAGATATATTACAAACGGGAATATATACAGAGAAGTAGAAGTGTGAGTACGAACAATCAGGTTTAGTAGAGAGAACTATGTAGTCTCGACCAGTATCTTGCAGTAATTGTCTGAAAACGAACTCTGTTTCGGACTGCCTCTGACTCAACTAACTGGATTACGGCTTCTGACTTTGACGGATCTCACTCCAGACTTCAGACTGAACAATTTAGTCCCCCCCCACCACCACCATATTAATAGGGCATCATGTGGCACAAGGCCGGTTTAACATGGGATCTCCACAATTAATTCGGCAAAAAATTATGCCCTTTGAAAATATAGATAAACTGGTTCATGGTCGGTTTACCTCCCCGAAGAGACTCCGCCCTTTTTTTTTTTTTCGTAAGGTTCTTCGAATAGGTCTGAAGGCAGAGAGTTCAGCCGGTCATCTGACTTCAGACTGAACTCCCTGCTTCCTCTTGAGGCGCAGTATTTATTACATATGGAATAGTCCATTATGTCATTATGGGTAAGGTCCCATAACAGTTACAAATGAAAAATAAAGCGTTCTTGTAGACAAAACATTGTATACATTTGTTTCTCACTGTGTGATGCAACTTTGAGTTTCATGCCTGTAGCAATCGGTAGGCACAAAAATAAGGAGGTATTGTTCTAGACTTGATTAATTATTATGAGAAATATATGATTAATACAAATATAAAATTTGTTACTTAGCTGATTGATGTTATATTCAGCACCCCAATTCCAGAGTTTTGTAGATAAACCTTAAATCCGCTAAAAATTTAGAATACCACAATGAAAAAAAAATGAAAACAGATTTGATATTATTAAGGGGAAAGATCAAAGTGTTTTTTGAATACTTTTAATTAAATTTTTTAATCCTTTTCAGAACATTCAAAATTTTGATTACAAATTTTGTTTTTCTGTCATCAACAGATGCACTATAAATTAACATAACAAATTTTAGTATTTATTTGAAAAATTCTTGTGAAAAACATAATTGTCGGTTTTTCGACTTATGCATTTTTTTTTATTTAATTCTTTTTTATTTTTTTATTTTTTTTTTATTTAAAATTAACATGTGTTTCACCCCAGACTAATTATACTTTAAATCTGCTAATATTTGTCAAGTAAAGTTTCAGAAAAGTATAATTTATTTTTTGGGAAGATTTTTTAATAAAAAGATTTACATTTTTATAAGTTTGCTAAAAATGGCGCAAAAGTCAAAAAATTTAGAAATTTTGAAATGAAAATTCCTTCCAATCAATTTAAATTAGTTTTGAAATACAACATAGTATTTTGCATATTGGAAATATTAAATTTAATCTATCAGCTTGAAATTAAAACTGAAATAAAAGCTCCAAGAAAGATTTTTCATTTTTAAAAATTTGTTTTAAACCTTAGGTATTGTGAATCTTTGGAGGTACATGCTGTAATATTAAATGTAAATAGGAAATCTTATATGTGAAATTGAAGTATCTTTTAGAGTAATGTTTACCTGCAGACAACCAGTATTTGTCCAAAAATTTTAACTCCATAATATATGTCTCTGTGTCATGTCCCTTCAGGACATAGATAATTATGGTTCTCCATAACTTCCTATCCTTTGTAACTCTTAGTAAGTTCTGCCTACCATTTGCACAAGCTTGTTTGGTAGGTTACTAACTGCTTTCCTGCGTCTCACTTGTCTTCCATATGTCTTGAGAGCATCAAATTCTTCAAGCCCCTTTTCCCCCATTATGTCTCCTAGACATTTCAGCTGCCACTTTCTAATTGTAAGTATCCTTTTTGTTTCCATTTTCTTTAAAGCTTCCTTGTTACTGACATGTTCAATCCATGGTAATTCTCAATATCTTTTTGTAGAACCACATTTCTGTTGCCTCAAGTCTCACTACCTGATAGGAGAACCATTATTAAATAACAGTTCAGTACTTTTCTCTTTGTTTCTAATGAAATTTTCCTGCTTCTTAATACTTTGCTTAACTTTCTATAAATTGGTGAAAGTCTTACATGGCCATCAAATCTAGTAATTTTAATGTGAAATATTTATAAAGTACAAATATATAAAAAATAAGCAAGTTGGTATGCAGAAGAACAAATTTTCTCTCCAAAAAGTGATCAGAGAATTTTTTCTATATGATTATTATTTTGGGTCCCCATTAGGTTTTGGAACAGTTCATGTTAAAAGGTCTTCCGATTGAGAAATCTCAAATCTGTGTTTATTTTAAAGGTATTGATTGAAAACAAAGTTTTGTGCAATCTGGTTTAAGGAGAAAGAACTTCATGCATTTAAAGAAATGATCTTTAATTTTGAGCTGCTCAGTGAACCCGGTTCAGCCTTTACTCCTCTGCTTTCCTTTTCCCTCTTCCTCTGCTCTTTCTTCTCCCTCTGCTCTGCCTCTCCCCTCCCTCTCCCTCTGCTCTCTCTCTCTTGTTTGGGTTACATGGCTTAAAATCCCAGAACCTCTCAGCTGTATTTGCCCGTCATTTAGGAAATGTTGAGAATGTTCATATGAGGCATTCAAAAGAAATCTTTCCATTGGGAATTCCATGTCGCAATGGGGAAATGAAGCTGAAAATCTGTCAAGAATTAAGATTAATTACACTCTGATTAATAAGTTTCAAAAATATTTTCTCTCTCTAAAACACTTCCTTCTCTCTCTTAAGACTTTGCCTATAACATTCTCTCTGTCCTCTTCTATTTCTATCTCATTCCTCTTCTCTCTCTCTCTGTCTCTCTCTCTGTTCATCTCTCTCTCTTTTCTCTCTCTCTCTCTTTCTCTCCTCTGTTAACTCTCTCTCTTTTTCTCTCTCTCTCTCTCTCTCTCTTCTCTCTCTCTCAACTCTCTCTCTCTCTCTCTCTCTCTTTTCTATCTCTCTCTCTCTCTCTCTCCTCTCTCTCTCCTCTCTCTCTCTCCTCTTCTGTTGCTCTCTCCTCTCTCTCTTATATCTTATCTCTCTCTCTCTCTCTCTCTCTTTCTCTTTTTTCTCTCTCTCTCTCTCTCTCTCTCTCATTCCTCTTCATCTCTATCTCTCCTCTTGAATTCTCCCATCCTTTCTCAGTTATCCTCTTTGTTCTCTTCTCTCTCTCCTCTCGTTCTCTCTCTCCTCTCTCTCCTCTGTTGCTGCTTTTGATCTGTCTGTCTTTTTTTTCCCCACAAAACCATTTTAAAAAACTTATTTGTAATGCAATATGTAGGCAAATCTTATTTTTTTTTTCAGTATTCACTTAGCTTCTAGGGAAAAATTTACAAATGTAATTAACATATTTTCTGCATATGTTTGTTTTTGTTTAGTTTTTTTTTTTCTCATGGTTCCTACTTCCCACCGCCAATAAGCCTTGAAAATTTACCTTGCAATCCAATGTGTCAAAGGTTACCTTTTATTTTATTTAATTTTATGCTTTTCCTAACAAAAAAAATTTAGGGAAATGAAATATATGCTGTTTGAAGATATAATTTGTATTAACATAATATGTAAATTATCAGTTGTAATACTGCACTTACTTCCTGTTTTTTTTTTTGTTTTTTTTTTTTAATGTTTTTTCTCTTATATTTACAAGAGGAAAGAAACTTTTTATATTCTCTTATTGGGAATATTTCTACCTGAAATTCTGGGTAATGGCTGAAGTGGAAGATAATGTAAATCAAAGAATTTAAAATATATCAGTTTTCAACATAAGAGATGTCACTAACTTTACAAATACAATAGCAGGTAATCAGTATTTGACTTACAGTCAACAATTGGTTTTGATCATAATCTGAGTGTGATGTGAATAAACACTGAACTATTAAAATTAATCAAATATTGATTACTGGCAAATACCGTTTACTTATTTAATTTCCCCCTCCTATGGGTAATATATATAACTTGATTCATGTTGGGAGGTACATTTTTATTTAACAGGATTTCTCAATCTAGTCCCATTGATATTAATTTCACAGTTTAGGAAAATAAAAAAAAGACCTGGATATAAACTCAAATTTTATATATATAATCTCCAAATATAAAAGAACAAAGAATAAAATTCAAAATGTTCAAAACCAGTAGCATAACATGGAGTTTCATACACAACGCAATCTTCAGTTGCTTAGTAGAGATTGACCATTACATAATTTAAAATCTTTTTTTTTTTTTTTTTTTTTAATAAAAATGCCTGGTTAAAACAATGCAATGTATTCTGTTAACATTAGCACTCAATGTGTGAGATATTCAAATGTTAATTTTAACAATTTTAATTGATAAACACTAATAAGAATAAATTCACTATCTCCCTATATAACAAAAAAAAAAAACTACCATCATAAATTTGTGTACCCTTAACTATGAGTGAATGTCCAAAATACTATAAAATATTGCATTTTTCTTTTTTCAGAGGGAAATTAGCAGGAGATACTTTGATAACTGACATCCATCAAAAACATGGCACATGGAACTAGAACATTCTACCCCAGTGAATTGAAATAAAGGGTTCAGTTCGACATTCCAACCATTTGAAGAAGTTCCGGAATATATATAATACATAAAATATATGATAAATATGGCAATAAAGATGAGGACAATAGTATAAATAATATATATAATACCTCATCTCATAAATATATACAGATTAATTTCGGAATTTTTTGTAATAAATATGGTGACAAAGATAAGGACAATAGTCCGAATAATGTAAATAATGCGAAACATAAAACCTCATCTCAGAAATATAGACAGATACTGTTGGATCTTTTCTAAACGTAATATTAAATATATGGATAAAAAGATGAAAGTAATAGTCCGAATATTGTAAATAATTTACATAATTTTTCATCTCAGAAATATAGACAGAAACTGAAAAGAATTAAAACTTTAAATAAATAAATGAATAAAGATGATGACAATAGTCCAAATAATTAAAAATATTTTGAGGAAGACAAAGAGAAAGAATGTTGGCAGTTGGGTTATATTGTGAATGTGAAAAAGGCTTAACATGTCTTATGTGTTTTAGTGGTGAGAAATTAAAAGGATATAATGTATAAAATACCTCATCTCAGAAATATAGACAGACTATAAAATAGTAATTATAAAAAACCTAATAAAGTGTGCAAAAATTAATTCATCCAAAAAATACATTTTCTACAGTGAACTAAAAAAATAAAACAAACTCTTATTAATATTAACTTCCCTAATTATATTGTTGATGAACAAATAAGAGATTCTATCAGAAATTTTAATACAAAGCAAATAGAATATAATACTTTGTCAACTAACCCCGAACATATTAATCTTTTATATCACAACCAAATACATTCTAATTATAAACAAGATGAAAATATCCTAGAAAAGTTAATAAATACTAACATTTTCACCACAGACAATAGATTTAATAATATACTACACTAAGTCTAGTAAATCTAATTCAATCATTTGTAATGACTCTTCCCCACCAACTAACGTGTTGCAGAAGACCAACATTCTATATAAATTTAAATGTCCTCTGAGAGATTGAATCTCCAATGAAAAAAATAATATTTATGTTGGCCACACTATGACCACGTTGTCTCGGCAGACCAGTTTTTATTTGAATGATGTGTCCAACATTTTTAAACATTTACAACAGCATCCCTGTTCACATTCCCAATTCAGAAAAATTCTTGTTGAAAATCCATCTCTCCTTTCTACGAAAATGATAAACATAAGCTAAAAAATTCAAATAAGCTATCTATATATAAAAAAAAAAATTGAAACCAAAAAAAAAATAATAAAATTAATTATTTATACTGCACAAAATGTAAAAAAAATGTTTACAATAAATAGTTTAAAATATCAATGTTATTTCTAATAATTTTAATATTTATTTCTTTAAAAAAATATCTTGACACACTAGGTTACATTTTTATAAAAGGAATGACCAAGTTAAATTGTAAATTTACATAATCTTAGCTTTTTTCACTTAAAAAAATAAACTTTCAGAAATTCATTTTTTTTTTTTTTAAAATGTTGAACACTATAATATTCGTTCTTGAAATAAAAATACCCTGATGATGACTTTGTTTAATGTCAATTTTTACTTGGGATAAAATAATATGTATAAACATTAATTTTTCTCTTCCTTTAATAATGATACCAATTTTATCCATGAAAGGATCCAATTGAAAATTGGAAAAATAAAATTTAAAACTTTAAAATAAATAACAATTATTCAATGAAACATGTCTCAATGAAAATAATATAAAAATATATTTATATATATATATATATATATATATATATATATATATATATATATATATATATATATATATATATAATAATATTTTTTGTAAAAAATATCATTTATCATATATATATAAAGTTAAATAATTATATAAAATAATATATATATAAATATAAAAATATATTATTAAAATATATTGGATTTTTTGTTTATTTTTTATTTAATTGAAAAAAATTAAAATTTTAGGAATAATTTATCTGTCAATTTATATATATTTTTAATAATCCAGAAAGCTTTTTTTATATTTATTTTTTATAAATTATTAATATATTTTAAATGTGCAAACTAAAAATTAAAATATTCATATATTATCAAAGATTAATCATCTTCTAAAAGGTTTTTAAGTTTAAATAAAAATCTAATTATCACAAACCGATTAATTTTTAATGTTTTTGGAAAAAAATTAAATATATATATATATAAATATATATTATATATATTTATATTATATTATATATTTTATAAAAATATCATAAATGCTAAATTTGAGTCTTTTATTATCAATATCAAAAAAGATAAAAAAAAACTTTAATAGAGTTTGCTACATATATTCAATTTAACTAAGGATTTTTCAAACAATAATTCTCAGTCAAAAAAAATTTGTCATTTTCATCCATAATGGGGAAATTTTTGGATTAAAAACACTTTTCAAAAATATGCATTTTTGACATCACCATGGGATCTTGGATTTTTTTTTTTTTTTAAATTTTGACCTTGTGGGTCTATTTATACTGTACAATATTAATATGCCCACTTGTGAACTAGAGTTAATGGGGACATGAGGCTATACAGAGATGATATTCATGGTATTGAGGAGCTTTTATTTAAATTTTAAAACAGAAAAAATTTTAAAGATAATTTATAATGAATTCAGTTTTTTTTTAAATTTAAAAACAATAGTCAATACTAAATTAAAAATAGTAAACTTCCAAAATAGACGTAATACATAGACTTTTTTCTAAATATACACCTACCTTACAGAAATTTAATACTAATCCCTTGTATCTACATCCTAAGTCAAACCACCCTCCATCTATAATTAAGCATTTATATAATTTGCATCAATAGAAAAAATAATGAAATGAACTTAAAGCAAATAATTGAAATATTCCAACAACACAGTAAATTTTTATAACACAGCCCTAAAAAATAGCGGATACAAAAATGCTTACATATTAATTATAGAAACGATAGTACCAATAATAAGAAAAACAGGAAAAGAAAAATCATTTGGTATACCCCTCCGTTCAACCAAATGGTCAGCACCAAACTAGGCCATAAGTTCCTAGCTTTAATTGAAAAACACTTTCCCACTAATAGCAAACTTATAAGATCTTTAACAAAAACCTTAAAATTGAGTTACAGTTGCACTGAAAATATAGAAAGAATCATAAAAAACATAATAAGAAAATCCTACAAAAAACACGCATACCAAAAAACAGTAATAATATTTTTCATAAACTAAAATTAGATAAAAATAATTGAAAAATTATGTGATTATAGAAACCCTAAAAACTGCCCGTTGGAAAATAAAAATTCATAAAATCTGTGGTATACCAATGCACTATCTCATCCATTGAGAGTCCTAACACTGATAGGATATACATAGTTTCAACAAAGAATAATTTTAAAATTAGATGGAGGCAACACAAAAGAGCTCCTTCAACAATATTCAAAATAGAAATCAAACATCTCTATCCAAATATTTTGGCATCTAAAAGAAACAAATAAAACACCAAAAGTAAAATGGAAAATAATAAATAAAACAAGAACTTGTAAAACCTGGGATGACCCATGCCCTTTATTTTACAGGAAAAACTACACATCATTAAATTTCTAAATAATGAAAATTTATTAACTTATAGGCAGGAGTTAACAGTTTTTTTGCAGACATCAACAAACTTTCGCATTAAATAATTATTATAAAAAAAAAAAATAATAATTTTTAATATTTTTATTAAAAAAAATTAAAAA